GCCAGTGGTGAGGATTCTAGAGGCATCTGGTGGTGTGGCTCCTGGGCAGAGTTGACTCAATTCTAGGCAGGGTATTGCTAGTGGTCAGGGTCAAGTGTTTCTGGGTTCCTGGACACATGACTTTTTGTTTGTTTGCTTTTGCTATTACTGAGTGGAAGTACCAACAGAATTCGGAAGAGGGCATCCATCGGATTCCCAGAGCTCAGGTTACAGACAGTTGTGAGTCGCCAAATGAGGGTGCTGGAAACCAAACTTGGTCCCTCTGTAAGAGTAACAGATGCTCTTAGCTACTGAACCTTCCCTCCGGCCCCATGTTCTTAGCTCTTATTCAAAGAATTGAAAGAAGAGCTTACACAGGTTTGAAAAGTAGCAGGGAAACTTGGTTTACAGCAAAGTGCTAAGAAAGATCAGAATGCACCGTGTGGGCGGGAGCAGCGGCCATGGGAGTGAATGCTCACAAGGGCCCCACCCTTGCTGAGGCTCCTCTAGAAGACTGAAGGAGCTTGGTTACTGAGGGGCGTATGGAGGAAGGTGCTGTGGTGTGGTTGGTGGGTTAGGTCATGCGATTGTCTTCTCACCGTGTGTATCCGTTCCCAGATGCGTCTGGTTTTGGTCACGTGCATGCCCAATTACACATAGGCATAAGATGGTAAATAGGGGAGTCTCCCTAAAACTTCATTTGAGTACAGTATTCTCACACTGTACGCTTCCAAAACCAGTTCAGGATCAGTCTTTCTGTTGGGAATATGTTTGAGCAAAAACTGTCCAAGTTTGGTGGTCACCAGGAGGAGGAGAAAGGAATCCCACTGCTCAGAGACATGTGCGTGTGCATAGACAGATGCTGTCAGGGCATCTAACGTTACCAGGTACGCTGCTTGGAGAGGGCATGTGTACATACGTGTACATACTTAGGCTACCAAGTATGTTATTAGAAGAAAGGACTGTTCATAATCCAGTTCGAATGGAGCTCCAGACTGCTAACACATTCCTGACACACACACCACTGTACAGTAACCAGGCACTGTTGAGCTGCAGGAAAGTGAGGGGCCATACTTTCTGGGGAGCTCAGGGACTCACCAGTAAGGCGCAGACGGGGTGGATTTAGTGTCTTTGTTCTTAAGAACCTGAAGACACAAAAACACTCTCAACTCAGGCACCAGTGTGTCTAAAGCTCAGGTGGCTGCTGGGCACTTGGGCTGTGGGGGGTGAGGAAAGGGTAGAAACAGCTTGGAGCCCTACAAGAATCATAAAAACCGAATTCTGGACTAGGGTTTTGCCACATCCCTTGCCTGAGAAGAATGGGACCCTCCCCCCAGCCAAGATGAGTCTCAGAAGAGCAGTAGCTGTACAACCGTCAGGGTTTAAGGACCTCTCAGAGGAGAAGGAGCCTGGGCTGCCCCACTACGTCATGAACAACGAGCTGCAACAAGGGGCTCATTTATGGGAAAAGAACGCTTGAGATGCTACGCCTTCTACTTCCTCAGTAGTTGGAAAGCAGGATGGACACACTGCTAACCATCCGGAGAAGACACACAAGCTGGCCATGTGGCTCCCTCCAGAGGAAGAACGGGGAAGACGAGGGACAGTAGGGCATCTGGCAGGATTGGGGTGGAGGAGTTTGACTTGATCAGAGCCCAAAAGTGACCATGTGTTTTGTGTTAGGCAATTAGGCAAATCAATAAGAATGCAAATCGGCTTTGTGAATAATAAACATGTGTGGCATCGTCATCTGATTGGTTGACTGAGCCCACACAGATTAAAGAGTTTGTACATCTGCGGGACAAGCAGATGTGCTAGGACTTGGAGCATCAGAGATGAAAGGTGGAGATTAGTGTTCCCAAGATGCTTAAGATTCAAGCAGGAAGATGAGCAGCAGACAGAATAACAGTCTAGAGCTGCAACTGCCCAGGGAATCATGTACCTAGATTGTCTGCAAATCATCTGCGACTTTTGCCTAAAAGGTCGTTTAGGTCGGGTGTAGCCTGAAGAGGAGACAGGGAGAACGTTCCTGGCAGAGGACACGACACAAGCAGATGTCAAATGGCAGCAGAATCCAGAGCCATCTCCATGGGCTGTGTCCATGTCTTCCCAACCCCCTACCCCTCCTCCGGGGGGTCTGAGTGAAGACACAGATTCTAATCTGTGTCCCACACGCCACATAATCTCTTCAGCTCTGCTGCCTGTCCGGAAGTTGGGGATGGGGAGTCACTCCTACCTGGTCAAGCTCCCAGGGTCACTCTGAAGGTCAAGAGGGATCTTGATGCTTGGAAATGTGTTTCCTGGACCAGGAAGCCAAAAAGAAAGATTTCCATTCCAGTCTTGTCATTAGAAACCGAGCCAGATGCCTCAACCAAAGAGATACATTTAAAAGATGTCTGAGTTCAACCTAGCATACCCTGAGGTCTCCATCAAACCTCTTTGCCCACCTCCTAGGGAAGATGGGGTTGTTGGGGAAAGGGGGTAAGGGCTTCTGTTGGGCTGTGGGTTATGAGAAAACTGTGTGTCAGGCAGGAGTTGGGGGAGTGGGGCAGGCCGATTTCAGCTCCAGAGATGAAGTCTGAAGTCAGTAAACAAGATTTAGTTTTTTCTTTCAGACTAAATCTTTTTTCTTTTCCCATGCTTTGCCAAGGAACCGAGCTCCTGGGAGATTCTGCAGCCTTTCTACCCTGCAGAGAAGAAAGTTAGTCCTGTCCTGAGGGTATATGTGGGGTTTGGACTGACATGTCATGCTACCCCTGATCCTATACCTAGCCTGATACATAAACAAGAATGCTATACAGAGCTCCCATGGGTTAGGGGAAGTGGCTTTTCATAAGTGTGGTAGCAAGGGCTCCAAGGCTTTGGGGTTCTGAGCCTCTGAGGCAGTGAGTCTGAGTTTCTGGAGGCAGAGAACCAGAGAGTAGGATCACAGTGTTGCATCAGACCAAGTACTCTGGTCCTGAGCCAGGTGGGCTGAGCCTGGCAGCGCCTTTCTCCCTCCTGCTGGCAGAGCACGTGTTAACACACCAGCTCCTCCAGTGCTAAGACATCAATTTTGCTTTAACAAGATCCAATTAGTGTCGTCTCTGTGTAGTCCTGAGCCCTTCCAGAAGAGAGATGTGAACAAGGAGCCGCCTCTTCCTGGAACTCAGATGCACCTCCCCTGCTCCTGCTTCCCTTCCAGGAACGGGGCTGCCAACAGCTATCTTCTCAAATCTTTTATCTGATACACATCTGTTTCCAACAGTCTGGTGTGGGGATCCCTCACCTGTCGCTCTGAAGTGTTGCATGGAATGGGTCTCCATCTTCTGTACATCTTCCCAATCTTTCTCTTGTCTACCCACGTGAATACCCACCCACAATTCCATGCAAATAGTCATTTGTTGATTCAGGGATTCCCCCAAAGACACAGCCACTCAAACATCCACTTACCCACCAACCCATGTACCCACCATCTGTCCATACCTTCATTCCATCCAACCTCCCATCTGTGTGTCCATCCACCTCTTCATTACACTACCTGTCTCCTCCAATCACCCATCCATTCTTCCACCTACCCAGTCCTTCATCCATCTGGCCATCCCATTCAGCTGTCCATGAAATAAATTTAATAAACATTTCCTTAAGGACTTACCTTCTGTGACATCTTATTCCAGCCACCAGGAACACAGTCAGGAGCAACGCTGAGTCCCTCCTCTAGAGCCACTGCCAGTACGACAACTTCATTCTTCAGCCGTATGGGGCCAGGGACAAGCTTCTGGATCTCATGTTTGTCATTGCAAGGGCTACTACTTCATGGTTAGCTGCTGTTGACAGTTCAATGAGATAATTTCTGTAAAGTGCTTGCCCGAATCCTGATATACGTTAAACATTCCACAAGTGATCAATAACATTGTTACGTATAGTATTGGTGCCATTATCATTTCTCTAGATACTAATTAAGAGACTTGGTTGCTTAAGAACTTAGTAATTTATGTATGCATTAATGAATCTTTATTGGATATCTACTGCATCCCCCGGCCTGTGCCCTTCAGGAGTTGAGAATCTTATGGTGCAGATGAGATAGATGTTTGCAATGGTGCAGCAGCTTCAAACACCACCATCATGGCTGTAATGACAGCAATTTTTAAGTTGTTTTTATTGAGCTATATATTTTCTTTTCTCCCCTCCCTTCCTCCCCCATCTCCTTCTACCCTCTCCCATGATCCTCATGTGAGTGCTTTTGTGCCAGGTGTTGGTTGTGCAAACCTCTGTCTACACTAATAACAAATCTAGGCAACTACAAGTGTTTTCCCATTTTACAGATGAGAAAACTAGTCAAGGATGGGGTGAGTCTTACCCGTCACAGAGCTGGCACATGGAGCAACTGGCATTTGAGATTTGCATTATGGGAAAACTCCAGAGGGTGGGCTCAGGAGAGGATGAATAGTGGGGAAAAGACTTCTCAGTAAAGAGGAGTAGCCAATTGAGCTATCCCCCCAGATATGGGTTATAAAGATGCTACAGAAGATCTATGTGTCCTTACCCACTGCATCAAAGCCCCAAAAGACTGGGCAATCTCTATGTCCCACTCTGTTACCACTCATTACAGCTTGAAGGCCTGCTCTGATGTTGAAAGCAAATGGCTATCTTCAACCTCACCTCCTCCTCCTCCATGTAGGATTTGAGACACAACACTATCCCATGGGGGGTTCAATTTCACTCTAGAAAGCGGGAGTGGTGCTAGGTTCCTCTTGGTACAATAGGATGAATGACACCAGTGTACTTGGTCTTTGGCTGAACAGTGGCCTGTCCTCAGTTCAGGGGAAATCTATGTCTTCAGAGTCTGAGGATGTCTGTATGCATTATGCATCTAGGATTTGACCATTCCATGTTCTTTTGTAACTTACTTTTCCTGAAGATACACAACGTACATGTCTATTCATTCCAGATAGAGAACCCACAACAGACCAAAGTACAGATACCACCAAAGTCCAACCTGGTGAACCAATGAGTTTTTATTGGAATGACTTATAGGGATCTGAGTGATAGAACACAAACAGGAGTAGAGACGACTCAGACAACTGTCTCAACAAAGCAGCCCCAGTTCATAAGCTGGGAACCCAGAGCACACTGTACAGACTGCAGGCAGCTCAGTGGGTTGGAGATGTCCTTCCCAGGTGTCTCAGTTGGTCTAAACCTCTTCCAGGCAGCTTGGTTGGTTTCTGCTTCTTCCAAGTAGCTGGTCTGGTCTCAGGGTCTTTGTAACTGAGTTTCCCATTGTCTAAGAGGGCTGCTCAGTTTGCTTACTCGGACAGGGAGGGACCTAGTGCATTCGGTCAGTTTTAGGAACTTCCTGAAGTGATTTTGAGTTGTTTGTCTTCCTAAGGAGTTTCCTACAGGATGAAATGGTTCTTTGACATGTCTTCGAATCTAAATGTGAAGCTGAAATCCTCAGTCTTCCTCAACCAGGAGACTATCCCAATGGCTTCCTTGGGAGCCTTCTTCCAGAACAAGTAATTGGTGAAGCATCAGAGCGCTCTTGGTATTTGACGAGAGCACCAGCCACACAGGCTGTCCTCCAGCTCAAGCGGCATTTTCATGTGATCGCTGAGGAAGCCAGTCTGCCACATGCATCCACGAAAAGCCCTTGTTCCCTCTGGCTTTGTAAACAGCCAATCAAGCCTCCATGTCACGATGCAGCCTCTGCTCCTGCTGGGTGAGTGACAAGGTAGCCCACTTGAGAGAGGGCTCTCCCGGGTGGGTAGACACAAGGGTCACCATAATGACACAGAGAGCAATCTATCCACCCACATGTCCGTCACTGTGATTGTCACTGTGAGTGAGCCACTTCACAGATCTGCCAGCCGTCCCAGCTGGCAACGACTGCCTTTTAGACTGAGAGTGGGTAGGGGCAAGGCTTGGAAGGTGTCTGGTCCCGCAAGGACTTCTGGCATGGCATTTGGAGTGGATTCGTCTGAGTTGAGGAGACAAGGCTGCCGTCAGTGCTGAAGGATACTGGAGGAAGTGAAGTGGACAGGGTAGAGAGCAGTAGACTGAAGCCTGAGCCAGCTGGCAGCGGTCTGGAGTTCAGGGTGCCTGCAAAAGCCAAGCCGCAGGTACCGTAAACAGAAGGGCACGAGTCTTGGGAGCCCCACAGCAGGATATCGTGGAGGGCTGGCGAGAGGGAAGCTACCTTCTAACCTTGTGGGAGTTTCTCAAACCGACAGTACCTAAGCTGAAGCTGTCCTAGCAAAGCACTCCATACTTAGTGGTCTGCACACACATGGCAGGATGGGGGGCGCGGTTTTTGAATGTTCTACCCCTCCAAAAGTCACATGGAAACCTTATCCCCAAGGGGCTGGAAATCGAGGTCCCCAGGAGGCTATCCTGTCATGAGGGTACAACAGGACGATGTGTCCTTACCAAAGAGCCTGGAGGGGGGCATTAATTCCTCTTGCCGTCTGTCCTTGGTCCACAACAGCCCTCCTCTCCATGTGATACAGCTTCAAGATGCCACCCTAGGAGTGGAGGGGGCAATCATTAGACCCCTCCTAATCATTAGACCCCTGCAGAACCTTTGTATTGAACTGCCTGCCTCTCTCCGGAGCTGTGAGAAATAAATTTCTGATTTTTATTAATTACCCTGTCCTGAATATTTTGTTACAGCAGCAGAATCCAGACTAAGACGTCACCTCATACTTCCAGAGGTGAATGGTCCTCCAGAGAACTAACTTCTGCTGTCTGTCTTATCATTGGCTATCCTTGTAAGCTACCCCCCAATTAAATGCTTTCCTTTATAAGAGTTTCTTCACAGCAGTAGAAACCCAAACTAAGACACAATGGTACCAGTTATGTTACATGAGGGACCTGTACCATTGCCTTATGACGACATTGTACCTGAAGTACTGGGGGCTATGATTTATGTTTTAAATGATCAAAATATAACCCATAACAGAAAGAAATCCTGGGGAAGCATTCCCAGCCTCACACTGATATGGTGGTGACGAGATGAGATCACAGAGTGGCATTTCCCCAGCTCATTCATGCAGTTTGCAGACTCACGTTCCGGGCGTGCGCTCTGCTCCTGCCCCTTGGTTTCTCTCTCAGCCTTTTCCCTTCAGCTACCCTAGGCTTGAGTCTGCAAACAGATCATTTATTGTTTATGACAGAGCATGCAGGGAGTGCTCTGGTGTAAGGCACAGACCTGCACTGGTGACCCTGAAGAAGAGCCTTGCAGGAGAAGTATGCCCCAGGTGGAGCTGTTGCTGGCCCTTAAGAGCTGCTACCATTCCCTCAAGCTGGCTCCTGTGGGTGGACAGAGCAGAAGGCACAGGAAGAGTACCCCACACCGAGGGCATCCCTGGAAGACGAGGTAGGAAGTGGAGACAGGGTATTCCACACCTCCATTTGGTACTGCCCTCCTGGTCTCGTTTTAATAGGAGGGAAGTAACCTAAGGAGGAGGCTGACCAGTGAGAATGGTCTCAATGACTGATTCGTGTTCCTGGGGCTGGGCTCAACCATGTGCCATCGCTGAGTTCTTTTGCATTATGGATACACTTAGAGCTGGGCTTCTCTTCTCAGACTAAACTCAACCCTGAGGCTTTATTCAGCCTTCCTAAGTCTCCAACACCTGGCCCAGCAAAGTATGGGTGCTCAGAAAGGTTAAAAAGCAAGAGCCACAAAAACCATGGAGTCCCCAGAAGCTTTCACCTTACTGCCCCGGCAAGGAGCTCCTGGGCATCTGCACACATCCAGCCTTGGCCTTGAATCCTAGTCCTTGCGTCGGTTCACCTTAAATCAGTTTAAAGCCTTTATCTTATCTCAGTGACAGGGGTGCAGGTGGGGCAGGGAGCAGGTGGCTCCCTCTGTGCTGCCAATAAATGCCCATGTCTAGACAGGAAGAGGCCCTGTCTGAGGGCATCCTGCAGAACTGGGGGGGAGGGAGATACAATAGGCAGTACAGAGTTGTAGAATGCACAGGGGAGCAGGTTGTGTGTGCACTGGGCTAGAGGGTGTGAGGTGTGGCTTGAAAACTGAATTCTTATCAGGCTGGAGGAGTCTTTGGGTTCAAAACTGCACCCCATATTCTAGACGACTGAAGAAAAAATTAGTTTCCCCACCCAAGGCTTGTATCATTTTGGGCAGAAGGCAGTTTTCGATCTCACCCCAATAAAAGCCTAAGTGGACCAAACAAAACAAAACAAAACAAAACAAAACAAAAAAACACCTATAGCTCGTTCTTTGTTTTTCTCTAGGCGGTCACTTCGACTCTCCAGGGTGTACCGACTTTTATCCCGTTATTCTTTCCTCTTATCTCCCCATAAGGTCTTGTGTCCAATGACCTGTGCTTTTTCCCAACCTGAACAAGCCCCTTGACATATCCCAATCCTCAAGGATGTTTTGGGGGTGTCCCATCTTCTCGGGATGCTAGCTCTTGACTGGACCCGATGCCCTTCTCACTAGCGCTCCTCTCCTGAATACTGGCCTTTGAGTGGTGAGCAGACGGCCTCAGTCAGGGACAGAAGGAGGGCAGAGCAGCAATTTGTCCTCCGTATTTCACAGTCGAGGGAACTAAGGCTCAGAGCTGAGGGGTGGCTCGTTTGAGATACAGGGTTGAAGATGGGCTCAGACCCTTTGGATTAGTTTACTCCATGATTGGGATGGAGTAAGGAGATGGAGAGACAGTGACCTGCCATTCTGTGCTCTGTGTTCTGACCCTTGAGGACTCTGCCTCTGCGGAGATGATTGTCCTTACCCCCCAGAGCTGTCGAGAGGCTGCACACAGATCCGGGTGTTGACTCAGAAAGGCATCTCTCACTTCAAAGAGACAAATGATGGTTTATTCTGAAGTGATTATGACTTGGGAACACAGGTTTAAGTTGTTCCAAATTCCATGTTTCTCCAAGGTAGCATGAGCTTTTATGGAACAAAGAAAAATATAAATCAAGAAAAAAATTTAAATGTGTTGCTGAAAATACTGGGTATGCAGCTTCTAGAAAAGCTGAGAAATGTCAGCTCTTGTAAGACTGAAAGATAAGCAATATATGTGGCAAGTTAATGGGAGACCAAAACAGAAAAAATGTATCTCGCAGGTTAAGATTTCTGTTTGCAGTCAAGACAGTTAAGAATAAGTTCCTGCACTTCTGCATTGCTGGTGGGAATGCAAGCTGGTACAGCCTCTTTGGATATCAGTATGGTGATTTCTCAGAAAGTTAGGAAACAACCTTCCTCAAGACCCAGCAAAACCACTTTTGGGTATGTATCCAAAGGATGCTCAATCATGACACAAGGACATGTGCTCAACTATGTTCATAGCAGCATTGTTTGCCATAGGCAGAACCTGGAAACAACCTAAATGCCCCTCGACTGAAAAAGGATAAGGAAAATGTGGTACATTTGCATAATGGAGTACTACACAGAAGAGAAAAATAATGACACCTTAAAATTTGCAGGCAAAATGGATCTAGAAAACATCATATTGAGTGAGGTAACCCAGACCCAGGAAGACAATTATCATATGTACTAACTCATAAGTGGTTTTTAAACATAAAGCAAAGAAAAACCAGCCTACAAATCACAATACTAGAGAATCTAGACAACAATAAGGACACTAGGAGAGACATACATGGATCTAATCTACATGGGAAGTAGAAAAAGACAAGATCTCCTGAGTAAATTGGGAGCATGGGGATCATGGGAGAGGGTTAAAGGGGAGGAGAGAAACAGGGAGGGGAACAGAGAAAAATGTAGAGCTCAATAAAATGAGATAAAATTAAATAAAAAAGAGTAAGTTCCTGTTTGTCCTGTGTGAATTCTTGCAAGTTAAGGTTTCTCTTTGTAATTGGTAATAAGTTCCTGTTCCTTAGATCTGATGTAAACTGCAAAACAAGTATTTCAGCCTACACTCACCTGCTGATGTAAGCCCTTCCCCTTGGTCCTTCCCTCTCATTGAAGTTTTTTTTTTTTAATTGTAGTTTTCTAACAAGGTATAACAGCCAACTGTCTCCCCACTGTGAATGCCTTGTTCTCCTATAAAAGGGACCTTGGGAGGCTGGCAGGGGCTGCTCTCTCAGATCCAGACTTAGGGTGAGATAGCCAGCTAGCCAGTCCCGGATGCACCCCAAGACACAGCTTGCTTTAATTGGGCAATAGTGGATTTGGTGTTTTCTCCTCGTGAGGTTTCACACTCTAGACCTCAGAGGCTCGCTTAGCCCTTATTAGCGGAATCCAGACGGTTTCAAGCATTAGTCACAGGACTTTAGGTTAAATACAGAAGTGACAGGAATGGCTCTCAAGGCCGCTAAAGATAGTCCAGGGTAAAGTGAAATTAGGATCTGGACCTGCAATATTCTAACCTCCCCACAGTCACTAAAATTCTGATCAGTTTAATCCATCTCGTGGCAGGGGAGGGGGCAGTCAGAGGAAGGCTTCTGTCCATACAGGTAACCCTGCATCCCTAGAGTGGGTTTACTGGTCCCTAACCACCAGACCTCTCAGAACCCAATGCATGGCCAGCGCAGCCTCAGCAGAAACTTGGGACAAATTTCTTCTGTCAGACTACCTGTGACTGCTGAGCCTCCATTCTCCTTCCAAGGGCCCCTTACCCATCAGGATGAGCATGCTCCAATCAATAGAGAATCTGAGGATCCCACAGGATGAAAAGCAAGCAGCCTTGCCCTTTCCTCCTAGGGAGACTTGGGTCTCCCAACTCCCCAGCCTCAGTTTCCCAAGTCTAGACTGAAAAGGTGACATTTTCTGGACCAAACTCAAGCCTTTCAAAAAGGTGTTCTGGGCCAGTGCGCTCGCCTCTTGCGAACCCTTCCGGAGCTTATTTGCATTCTTGGAATGAAGTGTTGTCTGTACTTCAGGCTCAGTCGCGCAGTAAAATGCTCCTGAGGACTTGCTTTGGAGAAGGAACTCTGGGATGCTGGCAGGCCCTCCACTTCCCCTGGGAGAGCAATCAGCCCCCTGCCTAGACTGTAGGGAGGCAGGCCTGAGCCTGTGGCCCTGAGAGTCGCTGACCAATGACAGCCTCGCCCCAGGGACAGTCTCATTTTTATATGTAAATAAATCATTCCCAGAGATTGCCCGGATCCCAGCAGGTTGCTGCTAAAATGTTTGAAGTGGATCCTTTGCCACTGTGAACACTGTTAAGCATTATTACCAAGTTTGGATGTTTTTCTCTGCTGATTTCACAGAATAATCACCAGCCTCCCTCCCAGGCTCTGGCCTCTCTGCTGTCTGAGATACTTGCATACCTGTGAGGACAGACTGCTCAGCACCTACAGGTTTCCTGTTCTGTGACTCTCCGTAGCTTCCCAACTTGCTCTGGTCTTAAAGAACTTGCTTGCTCTCTTTTCCCTATGTGCTCCTTCTGTGCCTTGGACTAGGTCTGCAAGATCTTATCTAAGGCTTCCTAATCCTCCTGCACCTGGTCCTGCCTGCCCCTTCCACATTCATCCACTCCCACCCTTGCTTGCTATGCTCTGACACTGTAGGTTCTTCTGGTCCTCAAAT